ACTAGTCTTTATAATGACAACACAGTCTTTAATTAAACTAATTGAAAATGTACAGACAACTGCCATCATAAAGTTACAAGTCCTTGCTACGAACTACTTTAACGAAAAGACAAAGAAATATTCGCTAGCGTGTGGCGTTAATCATAAAACTTTTACTTTTTATAGAAACAAAGTCTTTTTTTATAATAAAAACGTCGTTCTAACTGACATGATGGAAAAAACCATTTGAAGCTCTTATCTTTCAAAGCAATTTGTACAAGGCAATTGTAGGAAATGAATCCATTTAACGTTCGCTGACTGAGTGGGAACATGCAAATGACGACTTTCATATTATTATCGTAAGCAACCTGCTGATATCGATTTTACGACAAAAATTGTACCAGCCGGCTTATTCTGCAGATTTAATCTTTTGAATTAGGGACATATGTAATCGAAATTGGGTCGTTCAAAGTCAAAAGCGAATATTGTAAACTGTAGTCATTTGAGATACAAGGGTACTGAAGGGTAAATAACTGTTCAATATTCTGAGGCCTTAGTACGAGTTTCATTTACGTTTAAAGTATTCGTAACGAGTACGCATTCGGCACTCTGATTGGCCGGCGCCAATGAACCAACCAATCAGAGCACCGAACGCGTACTCGTTACGATTACTTTAAACTTAAAACAAACTCATACTAAGGCCTCTGTACTGACAAGAATGTACGTACGTGTGCTTGCTTACTTAGGTGCCTATCTACTCATACAAAAATCTTCTTTTCTAGTAATTCTAACGTCAATATATTTTATCCTTGTAATGTCTTTGATCTTATCGAATAAAATCTTCACATTTACATACGAATTCGCTGCGAGTTTCATTAGTAGTCACGTTCGGTCAATATGTTTATACTGTCAATTTGGCGTTAGCGTTAGTTTCATGTCTTTTGTTCTATCCCTGTTTACATTTGCGTCCCATCGTATTACCAAACAAAACGTTATTTTACTAGACCACGCTACATATGTAGAGGTACTCACATTTATGTGTTTTGCCAGTGAAATTCTACGCAGCTACGCACTTTTGTCCGCAGATGGGCATCGTTGACAGGAGAATTTCGCTTATTTCTTTGTATTGTGTTGTTTCCTTTTTGTTGTAATGTTCCGCTTTCTACTTGGATTTTATGGACCCTTTTACGGCCACTAGTGAAATATGGCGCGGTATATACCTATTATTATAGTTGCTATCTCCATATTTTTGTTTGGTTATTTATTATCTGCGGATTAACGAGGCTTAACAAAATATTCGAAAGTATGGACGTAAATTGTGTCCTTCAAATTAGGTCAAATACTCCCTTGTGGCCAAATTTTATCGTTCAATATGTTAAAATGTTACGTAATCAACACGCTATTGCTCGAAATGTTGTTTTATAACATCGAGCGTTTTTTTTATTTTACCATTACTTTAAAACTTTATATAGCTACGTTTGTAGTGTTATGGTTTCGTTATTTTTGTTAGCAACCATCCCATTATCGATCAAACAAGAGAATTCAACCAAAGTTGGCGCCCTAATAAATTGGATTGGTAATTCATTTGGGGTCCTGCATATTGTAGTCGTTTTAATTTATTTAGGACGCAACGTTGGAGTTTTTAAAAGTGGTCTGTTCTGAACTTTAATTTGTTTTAAACTTGGTCTTTCTGAACCACGGAATATAGAATCTGAACGCATCGTTGACATTTAATTAGGATTAAGTACCTATGACAATAATTAAATTATCAAGCAGGTTCGTGTTCATTCAATTACGACAATATAATAGCAACGAAGTTCTTATTTCTAAGTAATAAAAATGCTACTATCATAGTTCGCAGTAAATGAACAGTGATTTAGGTACTGGCAATGCCGTTTGTGGACTCTAGTAGAAAACAATATGGCGTTCACAATAGAAAAAGTTAGTCCTAATCCCGAAAACTTGCTTTTCTATCTCATTGACCATTGCTAACTTTACCCACCAAACAAATTCTATTCTTATATTATCATAACCAATGTTGTCCCAGGCCCTTTCGTCTTTCAAGCTTATTTATTACATATAATTTATGATTATGTCAATCCATTTGTCTTATTGAGGAAAGCTAGTAAGAAAATGTATGTAAATAGTTATGGGTTAGTAGTTCTCATAAAAGTTAAAGGGAATTCTTTCAATGCTGAGATTTTTCCTCCTTGAATGCTTGTCGTTTTACCCGCTTAGGCGTGAGAGGGTTATGTTAGTAGAATGTTAAGGAACAATGCTAGTAATGTTTAGCTTTGTGGATACTTATTCATAATGTAGGCAGTAATGAATTAATATTTATTATTGTATTGGTGAAGTTGTGAGAATAATTGTTGACTATCTACTTAGTCCTTGCGGTAGCAAGACACGCTACGATAAACTGTCAGATAAATTCTATGGCAAGAAAACCACCAATAGGTCATTTATTATCCTACTAAGGCAAAGCAAAAAGGAGGGATTTATATGTACCTACGAACTTTTAAATAAATCAGTTCGACTTAAGCTTTGTTAGTAAAATGTATGCAAATATTGTATTAACTTACGGCTTAGTCTTCTTCGTACTTGGCACACACACTGTAGGCATGATTTAATACCACCCTTAGTCAAATCCGTGGTGCATGGCATAGCTAGCAGTATTATTCAGATAAAATCGTCTTGTACTACTCATAATATTAAATTGCAACTATCTTGTTCTAGGCGTCCACCTAATGACCTGAAGGAAGACGGTGGCACAGTGGTCACGTACCGCCGTGCACAAAGAGGTTCTAGACTCGATAGACACACAGGTCTCCATAGGGAGTCGCCGTAACAGGCGTTGCACCGTGGGGGCTCCGGGGCTGGTCTCCTAAGAGGACTCGGTGCCTCCTTCAGGTGCGGATGGTGGGCACCGGAGAGGTTTTAGCGAGGTAAAAATCCCACACTCCCTAGTCTTTTCCGCGAAAAGCTAGACGCCTTTTGAAGATTTCCCACCGTCAACAAAAAAAAAACAAAAAAGGGTATTTGTCTTGTACCTACCTCTCTAAAGTTATAATTTCAGAAGTAAAACCGAATTACAATAGAATATAATGTTGACAAAAGATAAATTAAACGAAGTCATGGTCTCAGGGAAGAAATCCTCCTACATAGGTATAATGTTCGTTTAGTTATTTGCTTAAGGAATATTTACCTTCGTAGGAAGGGTCCAAGGAGTTCCATCTCGTAAATAGAAATCTACTCACGACCAGTGAGCGAAATCCCATTTATAAAATAAACAGCCCAGGTACGTAATACAATAGGATAATTTATTATTTCTTGGGTATTTCTACGTGTTTAATGTCAGTCCTTTGTATTTCAATATGATACAAGATACAATAACAATAAGTTTTCGTTAGGTTAGATAACAATAAGTTTAGATAATATATCTACCACTGTTTTCATATCTACAGAATGGAGAAGGAAGGACCATTTACATGTTATTTTTGACACATTTGAAATATGAGCAACTGCTTAAACTTCAAAGAATATTTTTCCCTAAAGGCTTTCCCTTCACTGAAGAAATTGTACAAAACATTTCACATTTTCTAAATATCCCGTTAGAAAATATAAGAATTAAAGTCAACAAAGCTTACCTTAGTATACTTTTACGTATCTATCCAAATTCCAAATAAAACAATTGTTACAATCAATTTAAGGATTTACAAAAGAGCTAACTGACGTTTCACCTTAAATCCGCGTTCCGGAAAAGCGAAAAGGGTAGCGTGTTCCAAAATCCAATTTTATCAACGTCGATTTAAAGCTTAACCTTATTTCCAAAGATTTAGAATTAGAACTTTGTGCAAAGGAAAACTCGTTTTTCTACGTCCACTGGAGTTTTATGAAAAATATTAAATATTCCAGGAGTGGCGTCGAGTGGCAATTTTACAAGACGTTTGTCGCAAGATGAATATTGCTTCTCAGGCTACAGCAGGCTACGAGTAAAACTAAATTTCGCAATTAACTCATGTTACAGACTTTGACAATATTTATTGCCCGGATTATTGTACGATGGTAGCGAGAGCAATAAATGTCGGCGAAATGATGTTGATATTCGATAAACACATTTTTTATGGGCCAATCCGACGGAGATCTACATCAAATTGGTTTGTATCATGCGATTGTTTCAACTTTCAACGTATTTTGTTATGGTAGCTTAGAGGCTTACTACCTGAATGTAGCTGTTATTCAATGAATGCGTATGTTTATGAATTAGCTCCAAACAGATTTGCTGGATTGGATCAAATTTGCAATTCAATGATCCCTCAAAGACTTCAGACAGACTGATTCCCCGGGCGATCTTATAGCAGCTTGATTATTTTTGACGGTAACAGAGTTAGTGACGTTCCCCGATGAATTAATCATAGCCCGTGTTCAAGCTAAATTAAATTAAAATACGAAACTCATTTTCAAATCTTTTATAGCAATTTCGTATTATTTCTGTCTGCCTTAATATTTCACACAATATTGGATACTTAATTTAAATATCTGTATCCCCAACTAACCACCGGTATTCAGTTATTAAAGGGGTTATACACCTATATTATATCAGTTACGCTTTGGGCGAGTAACCAATAACTTAGGGGTACCTACCTACATTAAGCCGTAAACTTGAGACGGGTACGACGAGAATCTACCAGCTAATGGAATAGAGGCTCCTACAGGTTTGAGCCGTCCGGATAAAAAACTTTGTGTTAACTACAGTAGGTCTACCGGGATCTATTCACTCACACCCACGTCAATCTGAACGATGGGATGTTGTTACATTTTAGAGAGGGGGTGCCATTGTCAAATTACATGATTGAAAGTTTCCGAAGACAATAAATGATTGATTGGTGAAAGTAAATTTCCTGTCTGATAAATTGTGTCACTGGAAATTCTATCTCTTACAACCTCAGAAGCTTTAGATTTACTACAGATCAAATTACAATACAATAACAAAAAGATTCAGTTATTCACTGTCTACTAACCTGGTGAGGAGCAAGGTGGCCAGCAGGTAGAAGACAGAAGGGTGTACGCCACATTCGCACTCGGTTTGCGGCGTGGCGGTCTGGGCCTCCATGCCTGTCCCGAGTTTGTGATAGGCGATATACGCGCGCGCTGGACTGCCGTGGGGAGCAATTTTTGTGGCCTTCTATCGCTCCCGATAACACTGAAACTGATCATCTGGTCGCTGAGGAGACTATACTCCTCACCTAGAAAACAAAAACCATTGTTATAATATTAGATACTTGTGTAGTAACCGAATGAAAATATTACTAAGGAAACCAACCCGTCTTTGGGTAAAACTTAATACATTTTTGTTTCTGCTCATTTCTCCGTGAACAAAAGAAATAGTCATAATAAACCGTGTGTTTATCGTTCCGGGTGAGATGTTAGAGCTGGGTGAGGGACAAAGGTCAGAATAGTGGTAATAAACAGTACGAGGCTCGGAAACCGCTAGTTTCAGAGGATTACTGCGGCCTCAAATACTATAGAACAGTTTTTGTTAAACGCGGCTTAGGTAGAAAATCAGTGTCCCTTTATCCGCACCTACCTGCGTTTTCACTTAGGTACCTAGTTACTTAAGGCTTATGTGTAAATATTTTTTGTCTGTAGGTTTATGTAGGGACATTAAGTCCGATCTCAGCCTACACGACGAAAGCCGCATGTTGAATATATTCGTTGGAAATATTCACACTAATCCCATTTATTTGCGTGTGACAAACGCGTTTACACTTCAGAATATTTCAAATAGATTATTCAAACACATTTTTACGTAGAGGACAAGCGTGGTAAGAATTTTAATATATATTTTTTAAATAACTTAGTTTGAAGGACTTCTAGGTAGTCAAATTAAAGTCAGACACGTGAAATAATAAGTTCAGCTTTGTCCTTTAGTAACTTAGTTTTACAGGCGTTAAAAATTAATCTCCCTACATTATTAAGTAACCTACTTATTCCGAAGTGCTGATTTCGGTATTCCTGGCACGCCTACGTTATATTCGTCGTCTCACCCCCGCCAAAACATGCCTATAAAGTATATAGAGTCGTTATGGTCAAGAGGTTTCTTTTGCCTTTATTTATTTTCCGTCTATTGTGGATGTAGCTAATGCTTTATCTATGTATGTGTGTGTGTGTGTATGATAAAATAACTAATGTCCAGAGTTATGTAAGACTGGTTTTATTTTATTCTCACGCTAGATAGTCTCCGAATAAAGTGCACATTGATCTACACCTTCTGACTTATTGGCTGACGGTCGTTCTCGGCGTGAGAAGAATCACAGGTGGGTGTCGGTAGATAGCTAGATACCCATATACCTATGTAGTCACCCACTCACTTATAAGTACTGTACATTTGTATCCAGTAAAAGATGGAGGATGGAGGTACCTACTTGAGTAGATGAATTGCTAAAAGTTTGTAAAGCTCTTTTCATTTTTCTGAGAAAACACAAAATGTATAAAATGGTAGACGTATACCTATATGAAGAACCTAACGGGTAACTGGGGCTCCGGCTCGACGTGCAGGAGAAGAAACGGGGTGGTTTTAGTCAGTAAGAGTCTGACACTCCCTCCCGCCTCACCCAGGCGGGAGCAGTCATTCGATGATTTTCCCCCTTAAAAAAAACCTATTATGGTAGGTATACAAACTATTACCTCGTTCGTGCTTAAATCGTAACATCACGAGAAGAAAAAGTTAAGTAGAGATATAGAAAAATGCCAAAAGTTCCTCGGGGAAATTGCATGAAGAGATTGATGCAGGACTGTCATTCAATCAGGGTATTTGGATATCTATTTCCCTGTCTGCACCAATGGCAGTCAGGTGTCGACCTGATATATGGTTATTGGTAGGTACCTACTACACGTTTGATATAAATTGAGACATACGAAAATGTATTTTGCCCAACCTGTGAAAGTTATGTAGTTAAAGGTACCCACAGGTTGTGAATTATACGGGTAATTCAAGCAAGCAAATTGTGGTTTGTAACCCTAGCTGTTCATCTAGTTTACATACGCAATTTAGACCTTTATTTACCCATAAATAAATAGTAAGTAGGTCTTGTTTTACGGGTGACAGATAAATAGTGTTACAGAATTAAATAGGTAATTAAATAAATTCTAAATATTTGTTTTCAAGGATTTCAAAATTTAGGACCCTAGTAACAGTTAAATAAATACCATTACAATAATAAAATATTTAATTAACCCTGAGTTTTAATAACAATATTTTCCGGGCTGTGTATTAGTTTATTAATACACCCTGGGGATTGAAGTTGCTAATTGGACGGTTGTTAAGAGACCTCCAACGACTGCGGCAAATCCCAATAGCCAATAGTGAATTTTCATGTGACAAGCAAATTACTAACTGGGTAATACGTAGGTACCTACGTTAGGTACGAAGTAGTGAGTCATCGAATTAAGATAGTAAATATTTATTTACACTTATGAGTATTGGTTCACGTCCCTTCAAGTAGACACACCATAATTCGTTCGTGGGAGTGCCGGAGGCCCGAGAGCCTCAAACAAGGATAACTGATCGTAAAAGTTCATTGCACATGAATAAAAACTTTTTGATTATTCCCCCTTAGTGACCATGGTTCAGGATAAAAGGTAGGTAGACACTTATTTTTTATCGCCTTGTTTGATTAGGGTAATTTTAAACAGCCTGTTGCAGATCATAAAAGGGATACGTTTACAGGCTTTAGAGGATTCATAAGACCCTTGAGGCTTGTCAAATGACCAATTTAATCGCCCATCTTTATGTTTAGCATTTAGGCGGTAGGAGTAACGCGTAAATAGTTACCTAACTATCTTAGGTACCTACTAAAAATGACCATGAGGTCTCTAGACGAAAGGTTCCACCACTTTCTAGTTTTAGTGATCTATTTACGGACTTTGTAAGAGGGTAAAGTTGGTCTCTACCAACATGCTTTGAAGGAACCAGGTGATCTTCTTGGTACTCAATAGCCTCATGGAAGCCTACCCCGACTGTGACCTATTCATGGACGAGTTCAAAGCTACTAAAAATGTTTGTCTCAGTTTTTGTGAAAGTCTGTGTTGAAGTGAATAATTAAATGTTTTGTTTTTATTTTATTGTGATGTACTTAGGTGCATTTTTGTTTGCCATCTACTATTGTAACTGTCTGATTTATTTTTATGTTTTTTAGTTGAATTTTCGTTGTATTTTTTTTAATGTGATGTTTATTTATGTGCTTTTTCTTCTTTTTCTGTTATTGTAATTGTTTGATTTTCTTTGATTTCTCTTTGTGTGTGTGTTAATATAATTGGTGTTAAGCCGTGTTAACATCACAATAATAATAAATAAATAAATAAATGAAATGTCTCAGAAGCATGACGAAATGACCGTCCAATGCAAAGGAACCTAGTCTCATTGATACGTATGACTGTAAAATTACCTAAAGCTTAAATAGGTAATTGCTTAATAAACTGCTGAATTGAAATTGAAACATTTAATATTTTCCTTTCAATATTTTTTCTTACGTAATAAAATTTCAACCATTTATATAAAAATGTTGAATTTTTAACATTAAGTAGTACCTAAATTGGTTGGTGAGAAGATGAAGAACTCGTGGTGTAAACTGTTTGTATATTTGTATAACTATGTGAAGGTAAGTACTTGCCTAGATATTATGTTGTCAGGTATAGGTGTATGTACATAATATTACACAAATAGAAATAGTATGTATACGTAGCTACCTAGATTAAGTTCTACCTATCTGAACCTTCGCTAAAGGTCGCCTGAGTAATTAACCATCGCATGATACAATTTACTGATAGTAGTAGGTACGAAATTATAACAAATGGAGTCGGTTCAAACAGAATAGACACTTATTTTCCCTTAATTCATTTACTGAACGTGCACTTCACAAAATTACAGGCTTGTGCCCGTAACAATGATAGAGCTCCTACCTTCTAATGCAATGCCACTAACCACTTTGCTAAACAATAGTAATATGAAACTAAATTTGAATGTACCTAAGTGTAACTTAACCATTACTTATTTACACAGGCACTTACTCTTAGTCATGAAATACGAGACTATAGACTTTAGGTAGGTATAATAAATCCTATGGGTTCACTGAACGACCTTAATCTATGTGTGTAGGCATAGGCATCACGTAGCACTATGACTAAACTATCTAATAAATCTAAATAAATACTACCCAGGTACTTACGAGCTACCTATCTACGCTTCTATAAGGAAGTAATAAAACACAAAAAATATCCGAAAAACATAATCCCAAAAGCACCGTAAGTATTTCTAAGGTTTTATCTACTTACAAACACTTACTAAAATGCTAACGTAACACGAAAGGCTAATAAACAAAAATCAGAACTTACTTTATGGTGTTCACACCACCTTGAATGAAGCGTAGTCTTTTGTCACATTTTTCAAAGAGTACAGACAAACTTTTTATTTAGATCTCGCGTGATGGGTATGTCAATAAAAGGTTGTAATCGGTTCGCGAGGTACTCGTGCACGCGGACACGAGCGCCCGGTCCACGCGTTGCAGACAAACTGAGGAAAAGTGGGAAAATGTAGCGGTATCTAGTGCTGGCGGTAGGAAAACTGTTTTATCGATGCGTAGTACTTAAAGTAGGATTGTCGCTGCTCGGTACTTAAGCAATTATTTTTGTGCGTAAAAAAATGATTGCACTGATTAAGCATAGGTTTTAGTAACAATGATTAGGGGCATAATTTAGATAGGTATGTCTTCCTAAAATAGGACAGATGACATAGTAAACATGTACCTAAGTACTTACCTATGGATATGTGTGCCTACAAATAAGCTTTGCAATATTGTGAAACCTAAGATTTGTCTCCTACGTGCTATATTAAGGTCCCTCTATTGGTCATTTCCATTTATTGAATTTTCCAAATGATATTACCTGAGGAGCGAACTTTTTTATTCATTTATCAATCAAAGAATACAAGAGAATCATACTTAGGTACCTAAGTACTTGAGAATTTATCGACATGTGTCTCGATAATGCAGAAACATTACTAAATTGTGATTGGGCGGGTGACCGCTTAGAGTGGGGTGGGGTGGGGGAAAAGTCGATACCACCCCGTGTCATTATACAATGCAAGCTGCACCACAATTAATAAAATGACATCAATATTATTAATTATTAAATGAAGAAAATAATTATTTACGTTAGAATACAATAACTTGAAAAAAAAATTACGTAGGTAAGTAAGTAGTTAGGTAGCTGTACATAGGCAGACATGTACTTCTCTTTTATCTTGTAAAAAATAGTAGGTAATATCTATTCAGTACCTAATATAATATTCGGTAACATCTGATTCTTATTTTTCAATTGGACTGCATCGATTGCGCAGTAGTTGGGTAACAACAGTAACAAGGTATGCTACGCAACGTGTTGCGGGCACGATTTCTGCACGAAACCACTATACCTATTGTCGATTTCGATCTAGGTGTGACTGTTTGTGCATTAATTTGTATTTTCGTAAACGGAATAGCGGTGGCGATCACCCCTTAAGCATAAGGGTGTAGGTTCGAGACGGGGTAAAAGTACCAATTTGACTGTTAAAAACAGAAGCGTTAGTACGAGTTTGTTTTACATTTAAAGTAATCGTAACGAGTACGCGTTCGGCGCTCTGATTGGTTGGTTCATTGGAGCCGGCCAATCACAGCGCCGAACGCGGACTCGTTACTTTAAACAAGAAACTCGTACTAAGGCCTCAGTTTGGGTACTTATTTATTTTTTAAGACTTATGATTTCACAGTATACATAATAACCTATAAGTAATACCTAAACGCTTAGAGAACCCCTTAATGTTAGTAGTGGACCCCCTAAAATTATAGGGCTACCTAACCTAACACGAAACTACAGACGATATAGAGGGTGTCCTTGAAGTTCGTGGGTAACACATAAGTCATTGTAAATTAAAAACTATCTGACTACCAAGTCAGATAGTTTTTATTATACTTTTCCCTTTTCCTTTTTATTATATTTTTCTGGTACCTGTAGGAACGTTGCCGATCTGGTGCCATTTGATCGTCGACTTCAGGGACATTCTGTATATTTGTTAGGAGCTTAGAGAGATACATAGAGTAATCTTACATAAAGGTTAATAATAAAAAAACATTTTTCTTAATTACTTACAGTTTATTTTTTTATTTTAAGAATATAATTAATTTAATGTTCCTCTTTAACTAAACCTCCAAAAACACTTGGCCATGGTAGACTACCTCCTGTAAACATAAAAAAATATATTTATTATGGATAAACTTACCTACTAAATTAGGGAAATAGCTAATTTGTTTTTTTGTTGGTGGCCGGGAGGTTTAGGACGCCCGCTTGTCGTGCCTGAGCGTGCGGGTTCGAAAACTACCAACGGCTTGCCGGGAAACGTACCAATGTGACGTTTTCGAGTTACTTTCTAAGATTAATTAGACAAGACTGACAAATGGTGAATAAAAACATCGTGAGGAAACCTGGGCTTACAATTTCTAATCACCAACACACATTGAGCACGCATGGTGATTAATGCTCAAACCTTCTCCGTGTGAGAAGAGGCTTTGCTAATCAGTGGGAATTTATAGGCTTTTGCTGATTATTTTTATTATTTTTTATTAAGTAGTATATTATTAAAGCCATATTGAATTCCATAAAAATTTACAAATAAATTTATAGCTCACAAAAAATATGAAACTGGCAGTATAGTATGCTATAAAGATCTCTCTTGGTATTGGGCTTAATTAAATTCAGTATATGGATTTCAAAGATATCAAGTGACTACCTATTTTGAAGTGAGAAGTTTTTGGTTGAAAACTTATGAAATAGCCAAAATACCTTGTACTCTTTCCAGTGCTGCCTTTCTTATTTCTATTTCTAAGTCTTTAATAATGAGTTCTTTTCTAGCAGCTTGGATATGTAGCTCATTGAGTTGTCTTTTAGTGGTGAGCTCTTCTTCAAGCAACATAATCTTTAACTCTTCCACATCTTTCTTCTTTTCATCTTTGAATCCCGAATCCCGAGAGTTCATGGCTTCTTGTCTCTCATTAATTGAGGAAGCTCGTCGTCTCCTTGATCTTGACCATAGTCTAGGAACCTACAAGAATAAACAAGCTTAAACTTATGTCCCCTAGATGGGGCATAGGAAGTCCACAGTGGTTCTCCATATCAATTGGTCTTAAGTTTCTCGTTTCACCTTGCTCCACATCATTCCTATGCTCATTCATTAACATCAGTAATAAATATATATTTAGTGTTGTAAGTGTCCAGACACTTTTCCAATATTTCTACTCTTACTATATTTTCTGATTAGTTTGTAATGAAATTTTTACCTTTAGTGGATCATCAGCTGCAAATGGTATTTCCACATCAATTTCACAATTGATGACTTTTGGTAGACTTTCATTATCGCTATCACATTCAGATATTATCGCCTCAACAACATTAGAAACATTCTCTTCCTCAATTTCTGTGCAACTGTGACCCAACATGGCACACACCTGTGCCAATATAGGGTCTCTTTTAACAGTACATGTGCCTCCACTACCAGCCTGTTCTATACTTTCTCTGGTAGAAAAATAATATGATTTGCTAGCACTTTTGAGTTTTTCCCACATTTTCAATAAAGATTGTTTTGATCTACAAAATGAAAATGATCATGATCATAAGGATGTAAGGAATGAACACAAAACCCAAAAACGATTATAATTTTCTATTAAGAATAATATAAATTGTAACTATGTATTTAAATATATGTAAATAAAAGGCCCGGTTTAACTTGAAATTAGTAGAGGTTTTGTACAGCAATAATTCATTGAATTCATTTATGTATGTAGTTTATATTTCACATTATTTTTACCTGAATACTGATCCAGTAGCGTTAAATGAAGCGGTTATTTGCATCCACGCAGATAATTTAGCTTCATTCGTGGCTCCATCCGTTTTTTTACTTAATATAATGTCTTTATGCTCCATTAGCAATTTAATTAATTTGTGTTTTTCGTCATCCGTAAAATTTTGGCTACGCTTTCTTTTCTCAGCCATTTTGCAACAATTTTATTTATTAATTTACCAGCTGTCCATAAGGAGCCCCTAAAAAGTCACACAGAGTGCGTTTTAAATAAAACAGTATGGGAAACTTAGAGTTTCTATTTGTTGGGTGATAGTTAGGGTTAGGGCAAGGGCTTAAGGCTCAAGACAGGGTAAATAAATCTTAGACTTCGGGGTAAATAAATAAATGAGCGCGTCGCACTCGCATCGCATCTAAATCTGACATTAGTGACAATACTGTCACTGACACTGACAGTTGCAGAGACACCTACGAGTAAGAATGAAACGCGATGACGTTGGCTTTTATTTTGGCTTGGTAGGAGAATCTACGACAAGACGAGGCAGGAGAACACAGTCTAAGTGGACAGGTGTTAAAAGGGAAAAACCTGTGAAAAGAGATAGTTATTATGTCTCGGTTATTTTATTAGCTGGATACGGCCATACGACTATTGTAACTATCAATCTAGACAAACCAATTTGGCTAAAAACCAGTTTAAAATTGTGTAAACTTAGTTCATAAACTTCGATGAAAATATCAATAATATTTATTTCAAATCTGCGCGGGAGTAAAATGATAAAACAGGTTTCGTTTCATAAACAATAATATTACATAGACAACACCTCTTTGACAGTTCCTCTTCCATTCATTCTTATATGTTATAAATTATCTGTCTGCCACTGCTTTTAACGACGAGCAAACGGAATAAAGTCGACACGCGTGCATTTCTTCAATTTTTACCGGATTTCGCTTAGAGTTTGTTGATAGATTTGTGTTGGAATTATATTATTGTTGTGTAAAATTAAACCGGCAAAGTAAGTATTAACTTTCAGATAAGTTCAACGTGCTTACACATCGAATGCGGAAACCAACATTTTCGCGCGGTTATTTCATTCAATAGTCTAATTTCCTAAATAATTTGATTATTTCTGTTATAAATCTTCTATATTTCATATTTTTTGAGGTAATTTATAGTCGATTGCATTTTGCGGCTGTTCCACGTGGAATTTGTTAGTTACCCATTGTATTTGTGTCGGTATTAGTACAATACCGCTGAGCCGACCGTTACATTGTAGTAGTGATGAAAAGAAAGTTATTGTCTGTATCATTGTGTTTTACGATGGTTGTCACTCTAAATCTAAAGAAGTAAAACATGCAACTTCATTATAGATTTAGGTATTATACATATACATAGTTATATACAATACATACATAGTTTTTAGTTAGCAGTTTTCTTGGTCTGCAATATGTAATTTATTATGCTTAACTCATTTCCACATATCACTGTCTCACTGTTTCTAAGTCATTTGTAATAGACAGCTTTTTAAGATATCTGGACCCATAGAAAAAATACTATGTGAGGTTAAGTCTGCATATTTATACCATATTTCTTAAAATACATCACAAGTCTGTTACATCTTAACAACAAAATTACAGGAAAGCGAAACTCTCAAGTTTATTCCATGTTATAACCAAACACAACTAGACTTAAAATCCTTTGTCTTATTTCAGATGACTGATGTATCTGAAGTGTCGACTTCCTCTCCAACTGAGCTGTTGGCGGCTGGCCGCAGACATTTGGCTGTGAGAGATTTCAGTGCGGCTGCCAGCACCCTAGCACAAGCATGTGAAGGACTTGCTAAAGAACACGGAGACACTGCCGACCAGTGTGCTGAGGCTTACTTATGGTAATATTCTTAATTCTATTGCGAAAATTTAAATTTTTGGGTTGACAAGTTTCTATCAGGTCAACACTTTTATTCTCTAGCTCTGCTAGAATCGGTCAGTAATGTCTTTTCTCAATACAAAGATGGAGTCTGGAATTATCCCTGAGGCCTTAGTACAAGCTTTTTTTTATGTTAGTAATCAAAACTGCACTCTGTTAAGCCAGTTCCTATGATCTAACCAATCAGAGTGCGAAATATTAAATACTAAACTTACATTTAAAGAAACCTAAAGCAATGCATACAAAACCCTATTTTATGGTAATAGCCCTTGTTGTATAGGTTTTATAACTTGTGACAAGTGGGTGTTTCATTTACCATGTGCAGTTTTGCTGTCATTGTAGTTAAGCCCATTCTAATTACTAGCTGTTATTACTACTATTTGAAGATGCTACAAGTATAATTCTAAGTTAAAATTTTTTATTTACCAGGTATGGCAAAGCCTTGCTTGGTCTGTCAAGAGAAGAGAGTGGTGTCCTCGGTGATGGTGTGCCAGGCTCAGGAAATGCTGATGAGGAGGAAGAAGATAATGATGGTAAGTCTTATAAGATTGTCAAAGCAAGTTAGTTGTACATAGTTATGATTGTTTTTTATTTTTTGTTTGAACAAATATTTTCTTTAGAACAAGAAGAGAATGGTGAAAATGGCGAGAATGGCGATGCTGAGGCAGAAGCAGAAGCTGGAGAGAATGAGAAAGAAAACGGAGAAGTTGAGAAGAGCGAAGCAGAGTCTACAACTAAGGATGAAGAGCCAGGCAGCAGTGTTGCTCCTGAAGAAAATGAAGAGCCAGTAAGTTTCAGGAGTTCATCAATTATGATAATTAAATAATTAAAGAAGTTTTACTTTCAGTCTTTTGCATAAAACTGATAACATGCTGGTGAGAAGTGGAAAGAGATAATTCCCTTAAGAAATAAAAAAAAATTATGAGATGATATTATGTTAGGTGTTAGAAGAAGAAATTGATTTGGTGTTCAAGAAAAATTCAATGACAATATTTTTTTAATCTATAAATACTCTATATTGTTGATGGTAGTTGTTATAGTTACATTTTCTAACAGGGAACTACAAACGGCGATGCCGACGCTCATGATGAGTCTGTAATGAATGTGGATGCTGAGGATGATGTTGACAATCTACAACTTGCTTGGGAGATGCTTGGTAAGTATAAGAAAAATAGTATATTTGATTAATAATCAATTTATTACCTTTACAAAATTTATTATTAAGACATGTTCTGTTTAAAACAAGTTACTAACTTCCACATGTTGAAATCAAAGGTATTCGAAAGATAAAGTCTGTGACTTGTATGGCTTTTGAGTGATTATATTTATTGACAACATTTGAAGAACTGAATCTTAATCCTAATCTACAATAACTCAATTGCCAGAGTATTAATTTAATGTGATTTAACTACTATGTGTTTTATCCATCAGACTTAGCACGCAGCATCTTGTACCGTCGCGTGCAGGACTGCGGCGGCGACGCGGCGCGCGCTCTGCTGGCCGACGTACACCTCGCGCTCGGAGAGGTCGCGCTAGAGAGCGAGACCTACGACAAGGCGGTCACTGATATGCGTAAGTAAACCATACCTTACATAACCTCCACCTTATACACTTTTTCACCAAAGAAAAAGTAAGTAAATGTCCTAATATCAATGCCTTGACCAGGAAAAGAAAGGATGGCCATTGGTTAAAACTAAGTTTCAAAATATAATATTTCACTGGCTCCATAGAATGTTATGTTATGTTAAAAGAGGTTATTGAAGATGAAATAAGCCGAACTAAAGATGAAATGATAAGTATTTACTATAAGAATAAATACTCAACACAACTGCGCACTACTTTCATGAAGGGTATTCCAATGAATAACAACTTGGAAACTATTTTCATAGATTTTTCAACTGTTCAGCAATCTGTCCATCCATTAATATAATTGAATAAGTAGAGGACTATAAAATGGGTCATTCACAGAGAGAACAAAATTAAACCATTTATTCAATAACTCATGTGGGCTACACGCAATTGAAACATTTTTACTGGCGCTGCCAACAACTTGTCTTTTATTTTATATTTTGTTCTTATTTACAGAAAGCTGTTTAGATCTGCAAAAGGAACTGTATCGTAGCGACGACAGGCGTATTGCCGAGACACATTACCAAATCGGTAAGCAGAAATATAATTATTCCTTTGAACTAAATTTCCATAGTCTATTATTTTCACCACTTCATTTTGGTATTTCTATAGGGTTATAACTATTTATGACAGTGTCAAATGTTCAACTTTTTTTATATTTATTACAGGTCTCGCAAATTCCTTGGCATCAAACTTCGAAGATGCGATTACACATTTCAAGAATGCAGCGAATATTCTCGAAACTAGAATTAAAACCTTGGAGAATCCAGCTACTGTTATAGAAGATGCCACGGTCAAGAAATTCTCGACTGCAGACCCATTCTATTCCGTCGAGGGAGAAATCAAGGAGTTGAAAGAACTTCTGCCTGAAATACAGGAGAAGATTCAGGATATGATGGATTATAAGGCTGAGGTAAGACCTTGTGATTGCATTGAGGTTACTAGGAAAATGCTGCGCAACATGATTATCAAGGAGAGGTCTCAATGTCAGTTGGAATGCCAAGCTTAAGGCAGAAGTGTTATGTTGCAAACACCTGTTCAATTGGCATTCTGGTTTAAGCATTAAGTATAATTAGGTAGTCCAATGCATGTGTACAAATACATTGACCAGTATTTTATCCTTAGATAATCATGACAAGCTTGGTAAGCATAAGAGTAATTCGTCAACATTCCATGACATTGTGATATTAATTATTACATAATATTGAATTTGTTCCTAAATTATAATATTGTGCCAAATTGCTAAATTGTTGCCACCGTTTTGTGATATTGTGATTGTTTTAATAATTGACTGTTAAGTATAATCAGTATTATTTTTTTAAATTTGGAATTGAAATGAATGTGTGCCTTAATTTTGAATGTTGTTGATGTGATCTAATAGACTGAGATATAAGATAGACTGAAGGACTGAAAGTTGTTATAATTATGCACTGTTACAATTAATTTCCAGTGTCTTTAATTGTTTAGCATTAGTATCAGTAATTTATATTTGGGTGTGTATTATGCCTTGTATAAATTATTACATTTTGCAATTTCTGCTTATGTATGTAAGAAACTATAATCTCAATAGTATAGACTGCCAGTTATATTCAGCAGCATTTATAATACTCGTAGTTTTAAGTTCCATGTACTGATTTTTTTTATCTGAATCATGTTAGTTTTAAGCCAACATTTTTACCACAAGGCCATTTTTATATTGTGTTTTGCAACATTTTGAAATAAATTTGTTCAAAATTAAACCCTGTGTGTTATTTCAGATTGTTCCCAATACATTAATGGCCATGTGGTTGAATTGTTGCTTGTTTATGTTAGGATCATGGCCATTGATGTTCATGGTGGTTTTTTGTTATGTGCCAGATTTGAAATCAACATAACATCCTGTTATACTGTTTTCGTTGAAGTGAAATATCAAAAGTACATATACTGGAAAACTACACATTCGACAGTCGAGAGAAATATACACCATTTATCCTTTTAATTAAGTACAAGAAAAATTGCTGGCATTAACACGTTGATCGCCATGGGGGACAACGTATGGGCCACGCTAGCGGAGGTTTTACCTTCAACAGTTTTCTGTCGGCAGTCAAAGCCTTAATGGTTGTCATGATAAAGAATTTATTGAAGCAATTACTGTTTTGAGTCAGTTTTCATTTCCGACTTTTGAACTTGATCAAACTGTGGAAACAAACACATTACCATGAGTACTGAGACGAAATAGTCTAAGTACTTTAATACTTACCAAGAGGTAGGCAGAATTAATATTTGTAGTACTTTTTGGGTAGCCTAGTACCCTTGATATGGTTTATAGTAGCAGCTAGCAAAGATTTAAAAAAGTAAACGAACATAAAAAACAATTCCGTAAACTCCTATAGAAGTTTAGCACAGTATTAAAAATGTTTTCTTATTCAATTCACAGACGATAAAACGAGTTCGCGAAACGCTATGTTCAGCGAACGGCGAAGGTGCATCGACTTCCAATGGTGCTGGACCCAGTTCTAGCTCAAGTTCCAGTTCATCAGTGCCTAAACCAGCTGCCTCCGACATTTCCCACCTTATCAAGAGAAAGAGAAAGGCGAGCGAAGGAGAAGCAGACTCCTCGGCTGCAAAGAAGGCCAATACGTGAATGTCACTGCCCAACACATTAAAGTACCTGTAAGGGCCTCGACGAATCTGTAAATTATTTGAAAAATCGTTAAATTGAAATGTATTCTTTCGAGTCTATTGGATAAGTTATCTGACCATATACCTAACTTGGACCAATATAGTTTTAACGAATGTGTTGACATTAATCCGCCCTTTATTTCGCCTTGGTTTTGTGGAAAGCAATAATCGTTTTGTTTTAAATGTAATCTTTCAGTGTGAAAAGCTCGTTATTTGAAAATGTGTGCTATTAACTTATCAGGCTCAAGAAAAATACATACATTAAATTATTTAAATTAATTATTATAAGTGTTGGGGCCCAAGCAAGTAATCTTGTGTACAAAAAGAAGCGTGATTGTCAGTGTTAAGTGAACGTATCGTCCTAGTAAATTGCTTTCTTATAACGAAGGCACAAACAGATGTATATTTTGTATGGATCTTGTTGTGTTTGTCTGACAGTTTGTTAGTTGGTTGTATGGGACATTTTTGTTCCCCAAATTTTAATAATCAAACATCCAGTTAAGTCAATTAAGTCCTTAAGAATTTTAAATTCGTTTTACATAAGAAAAGTCCCTGAGTTTGTTGTAATTAAATTTTAAATCAAAGGATCTACTTAGTTTAGTTGAACTCATTTTTTTTGATAATAAGTTTAGGACAACGAGATAATTGCTGTAAGAACTAAGGTTTAAAGCTCTTTTCATATTAGTATCAATACAGTTACTGAGAGCCATTTTAGTTTTCTCCGTACACAAATAATAATATACCTTTTTTTAGTTATAATAAGATTGGATTTCATCTTATCTTGTTGACATTATTCTAAGTTAAGATAATTGTAGTATACAGTATTTTATGTTACATTTTTAAACAGTTTTTTATGTTCTTGATACTAACATAAATGGCGAACAGATTTTCAATAGCAATTTATTCTCCAATTATAATTTTCCAATTTACTCAGCATTTTTATCAGAAATCTGAATAGGTGACAGACTGAATTATTTAGCACCTACTCAATAAGATTAGCTTAACAACATGTTAAAGTTTATATAATTTAATAATAGTTTTTCCTGAAGAATATAATTATCATAAATGTACACAAAATTGACTGATTTATTATGATGAATATCAAAGTCCAATTTTGCCTCAACATTCTTGAAATGAAATCTGTTCTTTGTTACTTTTCATTTATTAGTTATCGAGTAAAACGTAAGTGTATAACGTTTTGGAAGTTATAATGTTAAGCTATTTCGTTCTTAAATAATTTACATTGTAATATCACATTTAGTTTACAATAAAATTAATAGTTTTGATATATTTTTGAATCTTATTCAGCACCGTTAATTCTACCCTCGAATGTAGAGCTCTAAGCAGATATTTTTAAAATTAAGTTGTACAATACGTGGTTTTGCAGACTGTTCAGTTTGAAAACATTTATACAATGTGACTTAAGAACCACAAAATCTTCTAAGAGTGTATCGAGTATCGGGTGAGTATTATTTGTCCGTTACTTATAACACGTTAAACGCCATTGGCGTCACCGATGACCGATGACCGATGAAAGCGGAGCATTTGCCTTCAGCAATTTCCTATTGGCAATCAAAGGGTTAAAGACATGTCAGTAGTTAGCGCTATTAGGGTAGTATAACTATTGGCTGGGCGGCACTGCATAACGTGTCCTGGGGGCTTACTCTTGAATTCAATTCCGATCGATCGACATTGGTATTGTGTAATTTCGTACTCTTGAGTTGCAACACTAACGCCCATTGCATCCGTATTGCGTGGATATTGAAGGAACTAAATGGTACTGAGTTTGACTATATATTCCGTACTCTGAACGCTATTTTAGCAGCTACGATAGGGGTTGTATAGTTTTGACATTGAATAATTATTGAGATTTTATTAGATTCAAATTGCATTGAGATTGGTTTCAAGAGTAAGCACCCTCTCGAATATCACACAGAACTATTTTAGTACAATCCATAAATTTTTCCAAATCCCCATGCGAAGAGTATTTGAAATTATGTGCTTGGAAATAAAATCCCTGACAGTAAAAGTAGTAGTAGTACGGGGTAAAGCTTTAAAAATTCTGTTTGTTAGGACTTATTTTCATGTTTTCAGCAGTACTTACAACCGATACAATAATAACACCTACCTAGGCGCCTAATATAATTCACGCATTCCTCACCTTTGTAGCTTGTAAACATGACTGAGCATAATAATGACTTGCCGAATTCGTATTGCCATATCATGCCATATCATGCCATGCAATAAGCCAATGTTCATTCGTTATCTCCGTAAACTTGAAACAATATTTACTATTTACAATTAAACTGTTCAATTTATTTTCTATTCATAAAATAGGTAGGCAGATGAGCTAATTAGCAAGCTTTAATTCACTGAGTGCAAAAAGATGTCTCGTATTCTACATTTAGTCAGATCTTATCTGTAGGTACTATAATGTCGTACCTGGAACCGCAGTTGATCAATATAAATGAAAGTATAGCATTTTACTCAAAGTGCTGCCTATTGCAGTCCACTCAAATAAGAGCATAGAATAAAAATTTTTTTGTTAGTTTGAATTGAATGGCTCCAAAACTACTGGACGGATTTGAAAAATTGTTTTACCATTGGAATCCTACATTATCCTTGATGAACATAGACTATATTGAATAAGAGAAAAAAAGGAACCTGATGAATATTTCGATAATGTAACCCGATGTGTGAAAAACTAACAAAATATTGCCTACGCTGTGATAATTATACATCATAGAGCAAAGTGATGTAGTATGATCTTATAAAGGATACTAATATCAACATTCCGCGATATTATAATTTTCTATCTATCAATCAATTACAGTTATGCCAACAATAACTACGATTTCATCTAGAATTGTGAAATAGTAACGTCGCGCCGGTGTAAACCAGGGTTCACTATTAAAACCAGAATAATATCCCGGAAAACTCACAAAAACGGTAGTTTGAGGAATTACATAACTTCACGCCTGTCTCCCATGGGGGTAGGCAGAGACTAGGGAACGCCAATTACTACGATTCCTACGTACCTCTTTCGCTTTATCAACAGTCATCAATCTCGTGCTCGTCGGTTAAGGGTACTTTTAATTACATGACAGTTTTTATTCCGAAAACCTAAGGAAACGGGAACTAAGCGTTAAAGTCCCGGGACTGTCTATCTTTTAAACCATTGTAATTTATCATCATCATCATCATATCAGCTACAGGACGTCCACTGCTGAACATAGGGCTCCCCCAATCACTTCCAGATAGGCCGGTTGGAAGCGACCTGCATCGACCGACGGCCGCTGGGGCAAAAAGGTTCTCGAGTGGAGGCCACTTAACGGCAAGCACAGCGTAGGACGTCCATCCGCAAGGGACAGACGACATGATCAAGGTCGCAGGGAGCCACTGTAATTATTTAATTGAAATTCGGTACAACAATGGTGAATGAACCCGGGAAAGAACTTAGAATAATTGTTTTTATTACTGAAACCTTTATCACGGAAACGGGCATTGTACGGATAAAACGCGCATCATTTCACAATAAAATATGTAACGTACTGAATCGATTCTGATGACATTTGTTTCAACCATAGAATATGCCTTGGAAAAGCCTAACTCATTTCATAAAACCAAATTTTGCCTGAAGTTATTCTTCTACGCGGACGAAGTGGCGGGCTTAACAGCTAGTACGATATAACTTCATTGCAGGTTTTTGTAAAATAAACCAACATCAAAATGGTATCGTATTGAGGAAATCATTCATTATGTCAGCGTAAGTTGACTGTGGTCACTTTAATTATCTCGTTCAGATATTTTGTCTTTAATGAACTGCGTACGGCTATCGTCGCTCTGCGGTCACTTTTTTCTAGTTAGTTGTCGAATAAAGTACCTAGCAAATAGGTGTTCGGTTCGGGAACTCTTCACCATTCAGATTCATATGAAATACATCCAATAAAGTTTTTTTACATTCTGTACGGGCTTTAGGTTGATAAGTATTTTATGGTGTCATGCATACTTTGGTTTTCACAGATAACTTTATAATCACAATGACTAAGTATAACAGGTAATTCTGTTAAATGTAAGCGTATATAAGCATCATGCTACACTGGCACGGCACAGTTGTTCGTAAATCGTCTGTAGAACACACGATTACTATGGTGAAAGCAAGAAAATACGTCGTGAAGAACTATTTTGAGGGATATCCCAAACGTGAAGATTTTGAAGTAATAGAGTACGAGTTGCCTCCACTCAAGAATGGAGAAGTCCTCGTTAAAGTTGAGTGGGTGAGTGTGGACCCGTACATGCGAGCGTACAATCGTCGACAGACAATCCCATATGACCAGTTTGGGTTCCAAGTTGGAATAATTCAAGAATCCAAGGATCCTAGATACCCAGTTGGATCCAGAGTCGTGTCTCACTCAGGGTGGTGTGATTATTGTATCTTTAATCCATCTGAGGTCAGTGAGAATTCATGGCGTCCCTATAAATTACCAAACTTGAAAGGTCTCCCGAATTCTTTGGCAATAGGTGCCTTGGGTATGCCAGGCATTACCGCGTACTTTGGATTTTTAGAAGTTTGCAAGCCAAAGGGTGGTGAGACAGTTGTTGTGTCGGGCGCTGCTGGAGCTGTAGGCTCTCTGGTCGGACAGATCGCGAAGATCAAGGGCTGCAAGGTGATCGGGTTCGCTGGCTCTGATGATAAAGTCAAGTGGCTCGAAGAGATTGGTTTCGACAAGGCGATTAACTACAAGACTGCCGACATCGCTGCGGCTCTGAAAGAAGCTGCTCCCAAAGGTGTGGACTACTACTTCGATAATGTTGGAGGAGAGCTCAGTGATTCTGTCATAAGTCAACTTAATTACGGCGGCAGGATTTCAGTTTGTGGTGCTATCAGTTTGTACAACGATCCTAGTGGAAACTCTACAGGAAACGTACCTTTGATTGCTGTACTGACCAAAAAATTGCATATTCAAGGGATTCACGCTGATCAATGGTTCGATCGGATAGATGAATTAATTAAAGATGGTACAGAATGGATCTCAAGTGGGAAGTTGACGCCTAGAGAGCACATCACAGAAGGGTTTGAAAATATCTTTGACGCTTTTGTGGGAATGTTGAAAGGAGACAATTATGGAAAAGCTGTTGTTAAATTGTAACACCTTTGTAGACATCATCACAATTACACCATAGCGCTCTATAATTTTATCGATTCATTTTACTTAAGTACCTACGTATGCTTTATTATACTTATTTTATTTAAATCACGCCTGAAATATTTCAAACCTTTCCTCATCATTCATATTGTTGATAAAAATCACTAATTTATGTGCGTTTATCGCTTGCCTATGATATTAAAAATCTGATATAAAATGTTGTTGATAATTTGGCCTGTCATATTGCTGTTGGTATAGATAAGTTAAGAGTTGTATCGATATTATTATGTTCTATGTGGTATACAAATATACGCGTATAATGTCTCTGAATACACTTATAATTTCAAATATTTGACCCAACTGCAGTTGCATTTCAACTGGCTTCTCAGTCGCATAAGGTGCTGGTTGAGATCTTATGTAGAGTCAAATATTTAATTGAACTGTATTTAACAATATTTTGGAACTAGATTTTACAGTGGAACACGATCTCTTTAAAGACATTCATTTATCTGGTAGGGTTTAAGTACTGATTACTATTTTTCTGTGATTTAGATACAAATAACTTAGGTTGTGGGTTCCAAAATAGTTATATATTCATAAATGGTAAGTAAGTGTCCAAAAAGTAATTCCACTTTGTCTGCGGACTTTGGTTGGTCTCCTGGTTTACAGGAGTTGTAGTAGTTGGAATTATTTTCTCTAAATTCGTCAGCTTGATTAGGTAATCGTCTGGCGTTTCAATGTTGTGCTTACATGTCGTATGTAATATGTAAACGATCTTTGATACATTTATCTGATCTGATTACAGAAGTTGTCAGGAATTCATATCAGTCTTATGCCTATTGGTATCAGATAAAATGCCGCATAAGTACCTAAAGGGATTTTAGTGTTTTCATGTTGTTATTCATGACACAAGTATGGAAGACCCTTATTAAGAGCTCCGGGCGTGGATAGTCTTGATTCTTTGTAGGTAGGGCTTTATAGGACAATGTCACTATGTTATTACAATGTAAAACCACTAATTGCAACCTACGTTGGATGGACACTTGGTTACTGACACAGTACCTTGATTGTTCATAAATGGGTGTTGTGTGATTTGTAAACGGTATAGGTATTTTTATTTGTTACGCTTTGTAAAGCGTTGAGGACTAAGGCGATTTTGGAGCTTCCTCTTTCTCCTGTCTGGTATTAGGATATGCAGAAACCCTATAATCAGTAAATAGGATCGTTATATAGCGCATATATTATATTCAAAGTTATCATTAATTTTATATTGTCATTTTAGTCTTAGTACCGTTGGAAACTTTAACTTGGTTATAGCTAGTAAAGATCCTTTGGAATTTGCTATTTGGGCAAACATGAAATGATTTGCGAATTTCTATTGACACAGTGTTGATTTTTGTGTCAATACTTTTGTCACATTAGGTAATGATCACATAAAAACTTAGATATTTACGTGATAAGATATCTTTAGGTAAAGTAACAAAACGTGACTGTTTACTGAGTAGGTGTATGCTACACGTTTTTATACCCATTTTATGTTGTTAGTTGATTAATATTATGACTAAACACTTGGATTATTGAACACAGTTTTTCATAAAATAATATGGAACGAGGTAAAAAAGAATCTAATTAATGACTACAAACTTTTTACTTCAAACAAACTTCATTACCAGAAAAGGAAATCATGAGTGTCAAATTAAGAAGTATCCTAAAAAAATATTTTGGAAATTTTTGTTTCAAAGTAATTAAGAAAGTTCGGTTATTCGATATGGCGAGTGGCGGAGACGCGCCGGTTACTATTTTACCTAAGCACATGACTTACTCGAAATCTAGAGTACCGATATTGGGTGCGTTAATTGATTATGTGGACACCAGCGTCCAATATTTGAGGAAGAAGACTTTCGCACAAGCGGAGAAACTGCACGCGAAGTCCTCGAGGGCGACGCTGTCTGCTAGCTTCCTCGCTAGTGTCTGTCTGATGCTAGGGTTCGTGTGCAACGTGAAGTTTGAAGTAGTGACCGTGGACGAGGAGCCTCTGCCCAATGACTTGCATTTCATGCTTATGAGCAAGGAGGACAAACTGTACATCGACGATATTGACGTGTCGCGTGAGTGTTCAAAACTATGTCGATGTTTGATTAGATTTGATAACAGGATATCGTGTTATTGTCGATTTTGTATAGGCATTATTATATAACTTTTTTTATAAGTACTTAGTAAATATGAGCTCACGCTTCAAAGTCCTAATGAAGTGTTAAATGGTCAAAGTACCTACGGCACCATAAGTTTGGTCCCACACCTCGGTTGAATTAATGAAAAAAAAATCCCTGAGACGTGGTTTAAAAGAAATCTCGTCACGTTATGGATGTTCAGCTTAATGTTGTGTCGCAGACGCATCAAGTGTTATTGTTGCATCGGCTATTATACTGCAGAAGTAATGTACTCATTCGAGAAGTAATGATAAAACGTTGACCTTTAAACTCAGTTTCTTAACCTTCGAGAACAACCAATGTTTTTATTCTATAGAAACTTTAATAACAGGTTTGATACTACGTGCAAAACATAAATAAAAATTATATTTTTCTCGTTGTACCTTAGTGTTGTCGGGTCAAACGTGGGTTTATCATCAATTGCTATCATGCTAAAAGTAGTGGCAATTTATCAATTAAGGCCAAGTCCTGACTGATTCTACTTACTGCACTTATATTTGATTGTGTCACAATCACAATGATGTCTAAAGATTCTAATTAGGCATGTATATTCTTAAAATGAGTTTCTTTCAACATCGTAAAAGAGGTATCGTCCAACCGGATTCCAACACACACATTGTGTTTATTGCATACTAGCGGCCCGTCCCGGCTTCGCACGGGGGGACTTAAGATTTTTTACATAGTTTTACGTTTTATTTATATTTATTCTCAGTTTTTTTTTATTTAGGAAGTATTTACCTTTTGAAAATATTTTTCCGGACTTCATTTATTGAACAATTCAAAAGTTATCTAGAGCAAACTTTTATAAGGATTGAACCATTCATTAAAACGATTGTTATGGGTAAACTATAAAAGGTAGACATATGCTCTCGCGGACTTTTTTAAAAATAATGTTAAGATGAACAATTCATCTATAGAGCATTTTTGTATAACTTTAACTATATGCTCAGCGCACGCCACGGAAGGCCTGAGAAACGATACTTTTCCCCCGTTTTTAAAACATTTTTGGTTACTGCTCCACAACTATAGGACCTAGCGTGATATTATATAGCCTATGTTACTTCTGAATAATACAGCTTTCTAATGGTGAAAAAATTATTGCAATCGGTCCAGTAGTTTTTGAGTTTATTCATTACAAACATACAAAAATACAAATCTTTCCTCTTTATAATATTAGTATAGAAATAGCATTACCTATGTATATATGTAGGTACCTAATATATGCTCTTTAAACATCGTGTGTGTATTATGTTTAATGATTATGTTGTTTTAGGTGTGATGTGGTGTGTGGAGGCGTCTGACAGTCTTGTTATATTAATTAGCAGTTTGCTAATATGGAACTCTTCAAACGTGGTAACTTCCTACTAGTCTTTAGTATATAAGTAGTAATTGTTATTATGCTATGTATCTATAGAGGTGCAAAGTAAATAAAATAATTAGTTGTAATAAGTTCAACATTAACTTTTATTCATACTTTATCATTTTATAAATAAACTTACAATTTAATAACTGCCTTACCAGAATTGTCGCCATTTAACATTCCAACAAAAGCGTCGAATATATTATCGAAACCTGCAGTAATGTGTTCTCTAGGCTTCAGGTCTCCATTTTGAATCCACTTGATAAGGTCGGCAAATGCTTCGCTTTGGCGGTGGAACCACCTCCATACCAGGAAACCTTCAATTTTTAATTGTTTGAATACTAAAGCGGGCTGTAGAATGGTAGCTTTCGGTAAGTTAGAGTCGTTGTATGCACTGATAGCACCACAAACTGAAACTCTTCCAAAGTCGTTCATTTGATTTATAATCGTACTGCTGAGCTCTCCTCCAACATTGTCGAAGTAGCAGTCCACTCCCTTGGGGGCAGCTTCCTTCAGAGCTGCCGCGATGTCAGCAGTCTTGTAGTTGATCGCCTTGTCGAAACCAATCTCTTCAAGCCACTTGACTTTATCATCAGAGCCAGCGAACCCGATCACTTTGCAGCCCTTGATCTTTGCGATTTGTCCGACCAGAGAGCCTACAGCTCCAGCAGCACCTGTCACGACCACTGTCTCGCCAGCTTTGGGTTGGCAGATTTCGAGGAAGCCGAAGTATGCGGTTAGTCCCGGCATGCCGACAGCACCTACTCCCAAAGAATTCGATAATCCTTTTAAGTTAGGTAGTTTGTAAGGCTGTCCTGTAGGGCCAGCGTTAGGGTCATTGGTATTGATGACGCAGTAGTCACACCATCCTTTATGGGAGACGACCCTGGTGCCGACAGGATATCTGGGATCCTTGGAATCTTCAACTAATCCAACTTGGAAACCAAACTGGTCATATGGAGTTGGGTAGCGTGAGTTATACGCTCGCATGTACGGGTCCACGCTCACCCATTCAACCTTGACGAGGATCTCTCCATTCTTGAGTGGAGGCAGTTCGTACTCCACAATGTCAAAGTCCTCACGTTTGGGTAAACCCTCGAAATGTTTTTTAACCACGTACTTCCTTGCCTTCACCATTGTGATCTTGTGCTGCCGAGACGTTATGAGCGACTGAGTTTATAAACAACCGGTACGTAGTTTATACTTTGATCAGTAATGCTATCGTCATTGCGTGTCACGCGATGTGCATACTCATGTTCGTGTCTCACTCGGTTATGGGCATGTTCTCGCTTACACACACGCCATTTATCAGAGGATTAGTAATGTGTGTGTAGACCGCGCACACAGCCGCTTGCGCCGGTGTTTGCCGACAAAAAATAAGTAAACATTCAGATTATATATGTATTTATGTTACCGGCTTGACCGTCACCTTTCATTTCATTTATTTACAAGTTTATTTATTACCTTAGTAGGTACTATCAATGTTATTGCATTGCTGTATTGTTACATGAACTTAGTTAACATTGTAATAAATATATTTCTATTAATCTTTAGGCCATGCAACTTTCTTAAGTAATGTTGGTAATTAATTATAGAAAAAGTTTTTGTGTATTTCTTTACTCGTTGCCACAATGACTTAATGATCCCTATACATCTGGAAGAAATCAGTTAACCTCGCTAGAATATCACTTTTAGTTTTAGGATAAGCTTTAATTTTCCTTGTAAGATAACTTACAAGTGTTTCCTACCTACTTATATATGAATAATTTAGCATAGTGTTGTAGTTATAAGATTGATTGCTGTTAGTTGTCTAATCAATTTATTTTTTATTTCAAACGTAGCTCGTACATGTTTTGAAAAAGAAACAATTTTCTGTTGAGTTTTCATAACACCGTTCACTATTTAAATTGTTCTCTCACCGATCATTTTAATAGGATGTAGCCCACTGGGACAGGGGCCTAATTATTTGTAAATGAAACATATATATTTAGCTAAATCTTAATTTTACTTATACATAACTTACAATTTAACAACAGCTTTTCCATAATTGTCACCTTTTAACATTCCCACAAAAGCATCGACCATATTCTCAAATCCTTCAGTGATGTGCTCTCTAGGCTTCAACTCTCCGCTCACAATCCATTTGGTTAATTCGGCGAATGCTTCCGAGTGTCGGCTGTACCATCGCCACACTATAAAGCCTTCGATCCTTAGTTGTTTCGATACTAAAGCTGGTTGAAGGATGGTTGACTTTGGCAGTTCAGCGTCATTGTACGAACTGATAGCACCACAGACTGATACCCTTCCGAATTCATTCATTTGGTTTATAATTGCACTGCTGAGCTCACCACCAACATTGTCAAAGTAACAGTCGACGCCATTGGGAGCAGCTTCCTTCAGAGCTTTTGCAATATCGGCAGTCTTGTAGTTGATAGCTTTATCAAAACCGATCTCTTCGAGCCACTTAAGTTTATCATCAGAACCAGCAAAGCCAATCACCTTGCAGCCCTTGATCTTTGCGATCTGTCCGACCAGAGAGCCCACAGCTCCGGCAGCGCCCGATACAACAACTGTCTCGCCTGCCTTGGGCTGGCAAAGTTCTAGGAATCCAAAGTACGCAGTGCATCCTGGCATACCAACAGCACCAACACCCAGAGAATTTGATAGTCCTTTCAAGTTAGGTAATTTATGAGGTATTTCAGCCGGTTCAACATTAGTATCAGTTGTATTAATGATGCAGTAGTCACACCATCCTTTGTGGGAAACCACCCTGGTACCGACGGGATATCTAGGATCTTTGGAGTCTTCAACTATTCCTACTTGGAAACCGAACTGATCATATGGAACTGGGAAGCGCGAGTTGTATGCTCGTAAGTATGGGTCCACACTTACCCACTCAACTTTGACGAGGATCTCTCCATTTTTGATCGGAGGCAGTTCGTACTCCACAATGTCAAAGTCCTCACGTTTGGGTAAACCCTCGAAATGGTTTTTAACCACGTACTTCCTTGCCTTCACCATTGTGATCTTGTGCTGCCGAAATGTTACGAGCGACTGAGTTTATTAACAGGCTGAGCGTAGTTTATACTCGATCAATAATGCTATCGTCATTGTATCAGGTATCAGGCTTCCTGTATAGTTATGTTCGTTTTCTCGCTTACATATTAGCTATTTATCAGATTAGAAGATTACTGAAGTAGGTACGTGTATGAACTGGCGCATTCTGTCGTTTATTTTGTTGTTGATAAAAATAAGGAAAATGTGAAAATGTTTAAGATAAGTTGTGACGTTTGTTACTTATATTTTATGCAAGTAATGCTTCCACGCTTGCACTTGGTTTTTCGTTTTTGTTTTAGTGATAATCTGACCTCGTGAAAGAATTTCGAAAATACCTAAGTACATTCTGAAATGTCTTCGTGTTCATTTAGAAATCAGCTGCGAATATAATTACTGATCTCCGAAATGAATATCTTTTTATTGCTTTTGTCTCGTCTTGCTGTCTTTCGAATACTGACTGACAATCGACTGGACTTTACTTTATATTATCTCAGTGAAGCGCCGCAGTGACTGGCAAGTAGTATCTCATTGGCTTGAATAATGATAAAATTCATACTGAAAGAAGTCCCGTTATCTTTTTATAGATAATTTATTAATAACATACCTATCTAAACAAACTCAGCGATAGCGGTGTATTATTATTATTAGATATTATCGTGTTTAAGTAACTTTTGTGTATTGATAGTGAGCTTACAATATTGGATCGACTAGAACTGTTTAACGGGTTTCATTATGAAGATGTTTTTCAGAGCTTTATTGATTATAGAGGTATTGTTCAACGTAGACAATGTTTATGTTTTGACCTTAATGTGGGCTTGATTAGATAAAACAAGTCTTTATTAATTTAAGACTATTCATAAAGAGAAAACGCCTTTTACAGATTGATCTGAAACCAAGCTACCGCACTCATTCCATAACTTTAACAAAATGTCACGACTCGCGCGAAATATCTTCTACTATCGTTATCTATTGATTTTGAAATTTGTTAATGGCGGGTAGTAAGTTACACCCCTAGCTTCACATAAGTTCTGTTTACAAAGTATAAGGTAAAGTGTAGGTACTTTAAATGCTCTAGACCTATTTCTTATCTAAGGTTTGTGAAACAGCGGCTGACTTATGGCCATCTGTTGCTGTGATCCATAGCTCACATCTGTTATGTCCCGTAAAAATTTGGCTGGTTGGTATAGAAATATTCTGTCCTTATTTAGTATTATACCTACTCGTAATGTGAGTTCCGAGGTAGTTCCAAGGTTGTGGTGGCCCGGAGGTTTAAGACGCCCGCTTCTCATGCATGAGGGTGCTGGTTCGAAACCTCCCAACGGCAAGTACCAATGTGACTTTTTCCGAGTTATATGTACTTTCTAAGATTATCTAGATACCACTGACAAACGGTGAAGGAAAACATCGTGAGGAAATCTGGGCTTATAATTTCCAATTATAAGTTTGAATCGCCAACCCGCATTGAGTAAGCGTGGTGATTATTACTCAAAACTTTTCCGTGTGAGAAGAGGCTTTGCTCAGCAGTGGGCATTTATAGTCTGTTGATGAATGTGAGTTCCTATCGGCTGTGATACGGGACCATCCCAGAACGTAAAGCTGGCTTTACAAGATCTACATCGCGTAAGGATGTTTGTTTACTTATAATAATGTAAGTGCTGATTAGAAAAAACCTAATGTAGTACGTAGTACCCACGTTGTCTCAAAACACATAAATGAAATAAACTTCAATTTATAAAATATCATTTATTTATAGTTATAACGACATACATTACATTAAAATTGGTTGTAAATTGAGAATATTAAGTAAAATAATAAATAAACTTTTTAGGAATATCTCGCTATTTTGTGAAATATTACAGAACTCTGAAGAATTTATGGCAGACGTATCATATATGAAGTTTATGCGAATAAAGTAAAATATTAAAAAACTTACCACAAGAACAACCAAACTCGAAATACTTTAGCGCGTCACATTCGCAATTTAAAACAATTTTATTTACAACAAACAATGAAAGCTAGTTTCAAATTACATTTTTACGTTATAAAAACCAGAAAAAAACAATACCTAATTAAAAGTAAGGTGAATTAAAAGGCTTAGACAATACAATTTATATTTTGACAACAGCCTTTCCAATATTATCACCTTTTAGCACTCCTATTAAAGCGTCATAAAGATTCTCAAAACCTTCCGTGACATGTTCTTTGGCCACTATCTTCCCACTCTGTATCCACTTGGTGATTTGTTCAAATGCTTCAGGGAACTTATCAAGCGACTCCCATACAACGTAACCTCTGATCGATAGTCGATGGAATAATATCGCAGGTTGTAACAGTGTTACTTTAGGCAAGTTTTTAGGGTCCTCGTTGTATGAGCTAATGGAGCCAATGACTACGACTCGTCCATATTGATTCATCTGATACAAGATGGTGCTGCTCAGCTCCCCGCCGACGTTGTCGTAGTAACAGTCCACTCCCTCCGGAGCAGCTTCTTTCAGTGCAGCCGCGTTGTCGGCAGTCTTGTAGTTGATCGCCTTGTCAAAGCCGATGCTCTCCAGCCACTTAACTTTCTCGTCGGAGCCAGCGAAGCCGATCACTTTGCAGCCCTTGATCTTCGCGATCTGTCCGACCAGAGAGCCCACAGCTCCAGCAGCTCCTGTCACGACAACTGTGTCACCAGGTTTAGGTCTGCAGTGTTCCAGAAACCCGAAGTACGCAGTAGCACCAGGCATGCCTACAGCACCAACTGCCAGAGAGTCTGGCAGTCCTTCCATGAGTGGTAGTTTGTAAATTTTTCCGGAAGGATGAAAGTCATCATAGAACTTGTTAGTATCTAGGATAACGTAGTCACACCAGCCTTTGTGTGACACCACCTTCGTGCCAACCGGGTAGTCCGCAGCCTTCGTTTCTACCACTACGCCGACATTATATCCGAACTGGTCGTACTTTTGCGGCGAACTGTAGATCCGCATGTATGGATCAACACTCAACCACTGAGTTTTGACTAGAATCTCTCCATCCTTGAGGGGCGGCAGCTCGTACTCCTCTATTTGAAAATCTTCACGTTTGGGCCAACCCTTGAACTCGTTGACGACAACGTACTTGCGCGCTTTCACCATTGTGTCTTCACTGATACTAACTGACAAGTGACTGGACGCAGGGTATTTAACTGGCTTTTTTGTGTTGTTATCACTGACAAACCAAAATGACTTGCATGTTCTATCGCATCCAGTTTATTTATGAAACAGCTCTACTCATCGTTGTGTTGAGGATATAATATTGCGCAATCTTTAAATGATCTAAAAATAGCCTGATACCAAATTGAAACGTGTTAAGGAATTCGAGCACAGTATTTACATGCTTTGTATGCTAGACGCACGTTTTAAAATGTTTTTTAAAGTTCCGTTTTAAAAAAAACGTAGCTGGGTTACCAATATTATTTATATAGGACTAAACGAAGATTATAATGAAAATAGTTTAAGGTTATAGAAATTAAATACTTTGAGTGACGCTTGTTTTACAGGATTAGCCTTCACTAGTGAGTACTGATAAAAAGTACGTTGAACTGTGTTATCATATTCAAATTAAATATCTTGACTATTTGATACAGTGGATGCTGCACAACTGGCTCAATTTTTGCATAGAAAATTATTTTTATGATCCACAAATTTTTGTTATAAACGTGTTCATCTAAAGTATTAATTTTAGTGTGAGTGTAACCATCAACAGTTACATTTAATTTTATTATGATGAGACAAAATTAGATAACAGACACACGATAATAGTATGTATGTATACCTACCTAACACATAAACATTGTGACATGTAAATTTACTTCATAATTTTGTATATCTATCTACTATATTAAAATAAGTCGGGTTTTCCTTCCTGACGCTATAACTCCAGAACGCACGAACCGATTTCCACGGTTTTGCATTCGTTGGAAAGATCTCGGGCTCCGTGAGGTTTATAGAATATAAAAACAGAAAAAAATATGAAATGTTACATAAAACGAAGTCATCTGGTGGCGAAACGGAGTTCACCGGGTTTGCTAGTTGGTCCATCATTTTCTGATCACATGAATCACACGTAATATAGCCGCTGATTGTCAGTCACCGATATAGTAATGCAGGTTGTAAGATTGTGGCTTAGGGCAGATTGTTTGAATCGTCGTTATACGAGCTAATGTAGCCAATGACTGCTACTCGTCCATATTGGTTCATCTGGTACAAGATGGTGCTGCTCAGTTCCCCACCGACATTGTCGTAGTAAGGCCTCTGCCTCGAATTTTGCAGTCAGCAGGGTGGCGGCGGCGGCGGCGCGGGAGCGGCAGGATCTTATGCGTAAAATCAAATGGACTGGTTCTCGAAAACAGTGGCGGTGCGGCGGGCAACGAGCGGTGCACTCTAGTCAAGCAGTGCCAACCGCCAGCCGCCGCCGCCACCAACTGCCAGAGAGTCTGGTAGACCTTCCATGACTTAAAGTTTGTAATTTTTTACGGAAGGGTAGTAGTCTTCATAAAACTTGTTAGTATCCAAGATGAAGTAGTAACACCAACCCTTGTGGGACACCACTTTAGTTCCGTTCTGGAAGTCAGTGGCTTTGGTTTCTACCACCACGCCAAAATTGTGGCCGAATTAGTCTTACTTCTGTTTCGAGCTGTGTAGTCTCATGATCTCTCTATCTTTAAGGGGCGGTAGCTCGTGCTCTTCAATTTGAAAATCTTAATGTTTGAGCCAACCCTTGAACTCATTGACTACGACGTAGGTACTTGCGTGCTGTCACCGTAGTGTTTTTACGATACTATCTTACGGATTACTGAACATATGACTGACTATTCTACTGACTTTTAAAAATATTATCACCAACAAGTTATATGACTTGCATTTCGTATTTCAAAATATTGTGCAATACATTAAATAGTCTAAAAATATTAGTATTCATCTATTGAAGGTTAAGTTTGTTAGTTCATCGTTAGAAATGCTTATTATTTCAGTATAACCTCACTTCTGGATAAAAACATCTTTCATCATGAACGAATATAATAATCTATATTCTAGCTTGCCAGGGCTCTCACTCGAGATAGGAGTTGGAACGGGGTGATTTTAGTCAGTAAGAGTCTGACACTCCCTCTCGCTTCATCGAAGATGGAAGAAATCATTTGGTGATTTCTCTCTCGAAAAAGGGTTTACGATGCAGTAATCGTACCAGCCATAATGTGATGTGTTTTTTGATTCTTGCACGATTCCAACCTGATAGCCAAAGTGATCATAACATCATAATGTAGATATGAATGTATAGTATGTGTATGTAGCGCTGTATGCTCGTAGGTACAGGTCTACCTCCATGCATTCCACCTTGGTGTGAGTGTGCTTGTCAAGTAACAGAAGCAGATTGTTTTGTTTTTGTACTTAGGCTAATGTGACAATAATTTGGTTTTGTCTTCTAGCGCTCTCCACTAAGTGAGTATCTGTTCCTCCCCTGGCTGGGCGCAACCCTTCGCGGCCTGTTCTTACGACAGGCCCCCACAGCCGGAGCTCTCCTCTATACGATGGCAGTCATCAACGGCAACGTGAATCCTCTCTTCCTGACTGCTTTCTCGTTTCTATTCCGTAAGTTTCCTTTATTTTCCAAAATATTATAAATATCTGTCCCTGCACAGGATGCGTTCTAAAATTAATATTTGATAATTTTTAGGAAGGGCAGATTTGTCAAATATTAAAAGTTATTCCCTTAGATTAATAATAATCGGCCCTTAGATTAATTATCTGCACAGTCACAAACTTTATTAACATCCAGTAATGATAACATCGTTATCTCGTAGTATTGGAAGCGCGGCTGTGGCTGGAGATTGCTCGTCTGGTGCGCTCCAGGTGGGAACGGCGCGAGCATGCCATGGCCTCACACGATTCAGAGTATGAAGTCGAGACTCTATGGAGCAATGATGATGTCCAAAGCATTGAAATGAGAAACTACGTTTATTAGGATAACTTGCTAATATTTACTTATAACCATCGAGTAATAAATAACTGAACGTTCAAAATAATTTTAAAAATAATTTACATCGTTTTGTTGCTTTTCTAAATGATCGACGACGTGATTTCCTTTACAGAGGCGAACTGACAACGAAACGAAAAGTTGCTTTTCGTATCTCTATCGTGGCCATCCTTTTTAATTTTTAGTTTCTTGGGTAATTTAATTAGTACCTAATCACTGTCGGTTTTGTAACTAAAAATTTCTATTTTTGTAATTATTCAGTTATATTTTTGTACGTACGTAGTTAAATTTTTTAATGATACTTTTTAATTAATTAATAAATATTATTATTAGTTATTTTGGTGTTCTTTTTTTGTAGTTGAGTACTTATCTAATGCGAATTGAGTCAGCTATACCTTGGAACTAGAATGGAATCGCAACGTATGTAAGCTCTATTACATACAATAGTAATAAAATTATATTCATAAAAAATAATTTATTTCCTATAACAAGACATTTAAATTGTTGATAAATATTTGCATGAGAGAGGGGGTGGTACATTCGGTAAGATATTTAAAAAATTGAAATTCTTCTCTTTTTTTCACCGTTTCAGTTGACAAAGGGTGACGTAGTAGCACTGGAAGTAATTGGCTATGATTTGACTTCATTATGATTCCCAAAACATCTGTCAAGCGTGGGGATTCCGTCAATATCTTCTTACAGAAAACCTTTCCGCAGAGGTGAAAGTATGTGGCCCAAGTGAAAAAGTTGCTTGTGGGCAGACGTGCTCCATCATCGGCCTCATCATTGCCTACCACCAGGCGAGATAGTGAACAAGCGTCGACCCATCGTATACAAAAAACTTTACCGGCTAATCTTGATGATCATATCGTTATACATTTACTAAGAAAACAAATCATAAAATATTGTACAGTTTATATTTTGACAACAGCCTTTCCAATGTTATCACCTTTCAGCACTCCTATTAAAGCATCATAGAGATTCTCGAAACCTTCCGTGACATGTTCTTTGGCCACTATCTTTCCACTCTGTATCCACTTGGTGATTTGATCAAATGCTTCAGGGAATTTATCAAGCGAATCAAATACAATATAACCGCTGACTGATAGCCGACGGTACAGAATGGCAGGTTGTAAGATTGTTGCTTTGGGTAAATTATTGCGATCCTCGTTGTATGAGCTGATGGAACCGACAACTACGACTCGTCCATGTTGGTTCATCTGGTACAAGATGGTACTGCTCAGCTCTCCGCCTACGTTGTCATAGTAACAGTCCACTCCCTGTGGAGCAGCTTCCCTCAGTGCAGCGGCGTTGTCGGCAGTCTTGTAGTTGATCGCCTTGTCAAAACCGATGCTCTCCAGCCACTTGACTTTCTCGTCGGAGCCAGCGAAGCCGATCACCTTGCAGCCCTTGATCTTCGCGATCTGTCCGACCAGAGAGCCCACAGCTCCCGCAGCCCCCGTCACGACAACTGTCTCACCAGCTTTAGGTTTGCAGTGTTCCAGGAATCCGAAGTATGCAGTTGCACCTGGCATACCCACGGCACCAACTGCTAGCGAGTCAGACAAACCCTTCATCAGTGGAAGTTTGTAAATTTTTCCGGTGTCGTCATATACCTTATTAGTGTCCAAGATACAATAGTCACACCACCCCTTGTGGGATACCACTTTCGTTCCAACAGGGTAGTCAGCGGCCTTGGTTTCTATTACTACGGCAATATTGTAGCCAAATTGGTCGTACCGTTCTTTTGAACTGTGGGCTCGCATATATGGGTCAACACTCAGCCACTGAGTTTTGACGAGAATCTCTCCATCCTTGAGGGGCGGCAGTTCGTGCTCCTCTATTTGGAAATCTTCACGCTTGGGCCAACCCTTGAACTCGTTGACTACAACGTACTTGCGCGCTTTTACCATTGTGACTACACAATACGGAATGTCGATCAACTGGTCAAATGGGCTATTTATTTATCTTATATTATCATATCATATTATAAGTGCTTAAATGACTTGCAATTACATCATGGGGTAGAAAATGGCAGTCATTTCCCGAAAAATAGTAAAATCATTTAGCGAGTAGGTTGCATCATACAAGTGTGTGATTACAAGTATTGGAAAATCCAAGTATGTATGTTTTCAATCAATCACTATGAAAGTATCTTAACGTATAATTTAAAAAAATATTGATATAAAGCGATTTAGAGATTAGAATAATTAGAATAAAATTTGTTTACGCTGTACGGTGTTTGATACATTTTTGTATTTAGAAGAATAAGAGTTTGGTATTGAGGTTATTGTAATTAATATTTGGCATTGTTTACTATTGGGATATAATGCTTGTGTACGTCAAGCACTAGCAATTAGTTTGTGGTGTGTAGTTAAAGTACTGCTTTGATAAGCAAACCATTTGGACATAGAAAAGATTTCTCGCAGTTGCTGATAATATGTAGTAGGTACTTAAATTATCCTGTACCTAATTAGTTTCTTTTTATAGAACTTCATGGTAAGTTTACCTGACGAACTCTGATTTCCTTATATTATTGTTATGTTTTAATATTTATATTAAAACTTTCGTGGGACATACTAATTAATTATTATGTTTTCGGCTTACTCACGAAACTGTTTGACAAGTAACTCAACTAGTTTCAAGCCATTCTAGAGGCTCATATTCATGAGCAGCAGGCTTTAATCATGCATCATGCTTTAAGGTCAAAGTCTAAGTCACAGCATTTATTTAAATTAAACCATTATTTGGTACTTTTGAAACATCAACAAATACAAAATAACTAATAGTCTGTCAGTCAGTACGTCAGTGAAGCTAGGTGCTTATTCCAAAATGTAGATTCGAAAGGAGAAGAACGAGCAAGAAACTCTATAGTTACAAACTATAAGGGGTTTGTAAATATGGTCGGTATCAGATGCGACGCCTGGAAGGAAACCTTGACAATGGCAAAGTCTCCGTCCCTGCCACCTCAAGCCGTGTTTGAAATTCAAATGCCACGTAATGGAAGTTGTTCTCCGAAAGATCAGGAGAAGATTTGTATTTTAAAGGACACTTGGTTATATATCTATCTAGTTAATGGTCATTGAAAAAAGGCGCTGTGCTTAATATTATAATTATGCTTTTGCCATGAGCCATGAGTTAAGGTAACATTTACCTTAACGAGATAAGACAAATCAATTTTTTTTCAAGTTATTGATTCTTAGAATATTAAAAGATGGTGCAATTTTTTATCTCTAAGACAATGATATAACTTTTTTAGTAAATGATTTAGCTATCTCATGAGATACAAAGATAACACTAGTACTTTTGGTACTTTAATGACATGATAACACTTTAGGCAGACAGATAAATAGCCCGAGAACCATCAGTTGTCAGTCAGTATTGTGAAGACACCATGGTGAAAGCACGCAAGTACGTCGTAGTCAACGAGTTCAAGGGTTGGCCCAAACGTGAAGATTTCCAAATAGAGGAGCACGAGCTGCCGCCCCTCAAGGATGGAGAGATTCTCGTCAAAAGTCAGTGGTTGAGTGTTGATCCATACATGCGACTTTATAGTTCATCCCAAAAGTACGACCAGTTCGGTTACAATGTTGGCGTAGTGGTAGAAACCAAGGCCGCTAACTTCCCGATCGGTACCAAAGTGGTGTCCCATAAAGGCTGGTGTGACTACTGCATTCTGGATACTAATAAAGTGTACGGCGACACCCATCCAACAGGGAAAATTTACAAACTTCCAGTCATGGAAGGTCTACCAGACTCTCTGGCAGTTGGTGCTGTAGGCATGCCAGGGGCTACTGCGTACTTCGGATTCCTGGAACACTGCAGACCCAAGCCTGGTGACACAGTTGTCGTGACAGGAGCTGCTGGAGCTGTGGGCTCTCTTGTTGGACAGATTGCGAAGATCAAGGGTTGCAAGGTGATCGGCTTCGCTGGCTCCGACGAGAAAGTTAAATGGCTGGAGAGTATTGGCTTTGACAAGGCGATCAACTACAAGACTGCCGACAACGCGGCTGCATTGAAAGAAGCTGCTCCTCAGGGAGTGGACTGTTACTACGACAACGTAGGCGGAGAACTGAGCAGCACCATCTTGTACCAGATGAATGATGATGCACGAGTCGTAGTAATTGGTTCCATTAGCGCGTACAACGAGGATCGCAATAAATTGCCGAAAGTGACACTTTTGCAACCTGCTATACTGCACCATCGACTATCAGTTAGAGGGTATCATGTATGGGAGTCACTTGATAAATTCCCTGAAGCATTTCATCAAATCACCAAGTGGATACAGAGTGGGAAGATAGTGGCCAAAGAACATGTCACGGAAGGTTTCGAGAATCTCTTTGATGCTTTAATAGGAGTGCTGAAAGGCGACAATATCGGAAAAGCAGTTGTCAAATTATAAACTGAATAATTTTTCTTGTCGGTTCTTCTCATTATAATATGCTGTATTGACAGATTGTAATTAATAAATAATATATTCTAAATTGATTTTTTTTATTAGTTTTGGCTTTGCTTCATGATACTTCTTTAAAAATTCATTGTTTTCCTTACAAATCCATCATGCTTATCGGTAACGTAAGTATTGAAGTATGTACCATAAAATGTTTAGTAATACTATGATTTACGATTAGATTGATATTCTTTGATTTTTGAATGATAAGATACTTCTAGTTTCACATTGTTTCCAAATGTAATGTTGTATTTTAATGTAAGATATGATTTCTAGTTTGTTCTGGAAATTAACTCGTCGAGTACCGTCATTATAGACACAATTATAGAACAGGTTGAGGTCACCGGTGACCGCTTGGTGTTAGACAGTTTAAAACCGCTCGTAATCCAACATTTTTGGATCGATCTTAGACGGAAAAAGAGTCATCAACATTGCAACAAGATGTGTTAAAATATGTGAACCAAACTTATGTCTAGATAATGTGTACATAGTACGTAGGTTATAATACATTTTTTTCTGAAAAACTATGTGTCCACGAGTCGACTTAGATAAGTGATATGATATTATTTCGTTTTCTTCATTCATAAAGATGATAAACAAAAAGTATCAATGAATTGCAAGTTAAAATTACGCAATGATTTCTAATACGTTTCGTCTATTCAGCAATATTTTTATCTAGACCAGAAATGAGATAAAGATAAGATCTGATTGTTATATAGTAATTTTATTGTGATACTGTTATCGATACATTACGTTCGTAGCCAGTAAGATAGATTACTATTCGTACCTACATCGGCTACGAACGAAAGCGTAGCGTCGGGCTACGCGGCGTAGCTGG